GACCACTGGATTAATGAATTAAAAGCTCCACTGCGTTTCTTTATTTAGTCCATTTGGGGTGCCACCCTCCTGATGCCTGCTAGATGTCTGCATTCATTCATTTGTTCCATAAACACTGCTTCAAAAGCTCAAGGGGGCGTACATCATGTGCCCTTCTATTTTTCTTTGCCACAACAACCTTGTGAGGTAGGTTGGGCAGAAAGAAGGAGGCTGGCCTAGAGTCTCCAGGGACTTGAACTTGGGTCTCCCCTCTCTTAATCTAGCACAGTGTTTCTCAACCTTGGGAACTTGAAGATGGGTGGACTTCAACTCCCAGAATTGAAGTGGCTGGCTGGGAAATTCTGGGAGGTGAAGTCCACACATCTTACAGTTCCTAAGGTTGAGAAACACTGAAATATCAGCCAGATGTTACAGCTAAGATCCAGATTGAATACACTTCATTTGATGAGCAGGAAAAACTCCCACCGATCAGGAAGAGAATTTTCTCTGTGGCTTAGGTTTTTCCATCATTATATAAACATCTCTCCCTCCCTCTCTCCAAAGTTTGCAAACTCTTTTCCTGAAGCCCCTTTGCAAACCAGCTGAAAATGAATTTTCCAAAAGCTCAGCTAAAGTAGAAATCTTTGCAAGACCTCAGTTGGGTGGTAAATGACCTTTTTAAAGGACTGGAAAGGGGAGGCAGGAAGGATGGGGACCGGAGTGGACTTTGGGGTAAAGCTATAAACTTGACAAAAAAGAAGAGATCTGGGCTAGGAAATATTAAAAACTGGAGCATAATATTGACTGATTGATTGATTGCAGGTAGTCCTTGTTTAGCGACCAGAATCAGGATTGGCAACTTGGACATTAAGTGAAGTGGCTGCTAAGTGAAACCGCAACCATGCTTACGATCTTCCTTCCTTCCTTCCTTTCCTTTGCTTTACAGACCTGCGATGGTCGTAAATGTGAGGATTGGTTGTAAAAGTTACTTTTTCATCACTGCTGTAACTGCAAACAGTTGCTAAATGAGGCAGTCGCTAAATGAGGACTACCTGTATGTGCCATCTCATCGTTTTTGACTCCTAGCGACCACATAGGTAGATTTTCTCCATGAGTAGCACAATATATTATTAGGCTATTACATTGCATCCCATCCTGTTAGCCACACAACGTCCCTGCAATGTAGGTTAGAATGAGAGAGAGTGCCAGGCCAAATCACCCACATTTAGTATGCCTCCTTGCATCCAAACTCAGAATATCAAACAGAAGAAGATTAACTGCCAACTATTCACAAGACTGGTGTCTCGTATAAAGACCTCTGAAATTTCTCCAAAACAGATAATATCCCATCGGGGTCAAGTTCAGTTTAAAACAGCTTGAAATAGCTTGAACGGGACCCCTCCCTGGAGGGGCAGAACGAATAAGTCTGCCATTTCCAGAACTGTAAGCAGGACATTTAATTTTGAGTGGAGTCAAGTGTAATTTGTTTTGAAGAAAAACTTAATGAAAAACCTTTTAAAAACTCGATGAGAACTTTTGAAAACTTTTTTAAGCTTAAAAAACCTTAAAGAATTTTACGAATATACCAGCAGCTCCTCTTGTCAGTCATTTTTTGGACGAGGCTGGCTAACTCACTCATTTCTATTTAATATCCTTTATCCCACCTATCTACTTAAAAAGCACGCAAACCAGCGAATTCAAGTTTCCCTGAATCTCGTCCCGTTAAGCGTTTTTCAACCTGAACCGCGCTGGCTTGGGATGATGGGAGCTGTAGTCTGACACTGGCTAACTGGGATCAGACTGAGAAAAGTCCCTTTGTGGTGCAGAAGTATAGACCACCTATCCAGGCTGCTCCAAATGGGGAGACATTAATAAAAAAGGAATAGAAGCATTTCTGTAATTTTATTTTTGGTGGCCGATTGAAAAAAGAAAAAAGGCGGGGGCTATCTTTTGTAGGAACCCTGATTTGCAACTGGCAAATGTTCGTCTTGTATTCTTCTCAAAAGAGTCCTGGAAGCGGAAGAAAAAGAAAATGGACAGAAAAAATAAGAAACGAGGGAGCCATAAAAAGACAGACTTTGGTCTCTTCCACTCAAGGCTTCCATTATCAGCTCCATCTGGGCAGAGACCAGAAGTTAGGCAAATTAGGGCAAAATCCAGGAAGCACCCTACGAGACCACGATAGGAGGAAAACCATGTTAGTCTATGGTAGCCAAACCTCAAGAGGAGCCTGGTAGCCCCTTTCCCCACTCATAAATGCTATTAAAAGGCAGACGTTGCCACTCGTGAAACCATTCGCCCCTTGGCTCCAAAAGGACGATCAGGGGAACAAAACATCATAAGAAACTAATCACAAATTATCATTTAAATCCTACATCAGTCTGGCCCAGTGGTGCTCAACCTTGGGAACTTTAAGATGGGTGAACTTCAACTCCCAGAATTCCCCAGCCAGCATGGCTGGCTGGGGAATTCTGGGACTTGAAGTCCACCCATCTTAAAGTTCCCAAGGTTGAGCACC